TTTTGTTTTAAGCTAAGTCAATTTTGTGTGTTCAATGCACTTCAATAAATATCAATTTTATTCATTTTAAACTATGTCCATTTTCTTAATTTTTGTTTTAAGCTAAGTCAATTTTGTGTGTTCAATGCACTTCAATAAATATCAATTTTATTCATTTTAAACTATGTCCATTTTCTTAATTTTTGTTTTAAGCTAAGTCAATTTTGTGTGTTCAATNGTGAAATATTGTCAGTGGTAGACGGATCATGGGTTAGAGTCCCCTTGCCGTCAGGCTAACTGTGGGAGGTTCTCGTGGTCTTCTTCCTCTCCATCCATCAAAACGTTCTCCACGAAGGCTAATTTCTCCCAATACTTGATCCAGGAGTTCCCTTGTCTTCTGGATTGGGTTCAAAATTACAAGGCTACGGAGTTGAACATTAGTAGTCGTAAACTCAAAAATTGGATCGGCTGTTCAACGACGGTTATATATATATAAAAAACATTGAATTACAAACGGTTAATTAAAGATAACCACGATTAAAATGTATAACACCTTATCAATTACATTCGGTTATTGAAGGATGTCGTATCACGTTCCCGGTCAACAATGTGTAAATAAATAGTTTACTGACTAACAACACAGTACAACTGTAAGTTCTATAATTCTATATCAATAATTCGATAATAGTAATGTAAATATTTATATTTGGATCTGAGACATATGTTCTGAAGTGAAGTGCAAACACATAGACTTGGTTAAACAAATATATAATACCACGTTTTCATAAATAGACCACTTTTTGTATCGTAGCATTAATGGGTTACCACGGATATTGCAAAGATGGCAAATTGCGGATAAATATTTTCTAGTGGTATCAAAATTTATGATTTAACCGGTTAGCGCCCATCGTCATATTTAAAGGACAAAACATCAGGAACAAAAGCATATATTTTGGTAGGTCAAAAACAAAACATCGTGGAAAAAATATTTTGCTAGTATGAAAACAAAACATCGTGGAAAAAAAGCGTGTATTTCGGTAGGAAAAAAGCAAAACATTGCTTACAAAAACATATATTTCGGTGGGACAAAAGCAAAACATCGTGGACAAAAACATACATTTTGGTAGGACAACAAAAAAACAAAAAAAAAAACATGTATTTTGGTAGGAAAATTGTTTTAATATTGTCATTTGTCTAGACTCTAGAAAAATCAATATTCTCATCCACCATAGTTTATGAATGATTTAGATATAGTTCGTTCACCAGGAGTTTGCACTTGGCTCCACTTCCTCGGACGCAGAGCTCATTTCAGCGCGGGGAGAAAGAGGAAAAACATTTCCCCGCTTGAAATCAAGATAACCTCTAATGTGCGCAAAGTCTCCATATCTCCAAAGTCTTATTATAGGTAGTCCGATCAGACTACTATGAAGGCAAACCAGTTTACGAAAGAGCCCTTTAATAGAAAATCTAGTAAAAATAAGAAAGTGGTAGCAAATATATGTCTAAAAATTTGTTTAATTTTTGAATATGATTAGTTTGTCTTATTTACTTGTCTACCACTACAGATTCAATTCTCAAATATATATGACAAATTCCTCTCAGTCACTTTTAAAATAGAATTTGGTTTCATGCGTTCAAACTGTTCACTTTTAAAATAGTCTGCGTGGCCTACTTATAAGAAACCGTGTGGAGGCTTTCTGATGTAGAAGGTGATGGCCAAACACAAACAGTGAATTCTTTTTCAGTCACTTATTTCGCTTTATCATCAGCTATTATACCTTTCGTTATTCTAGCTAATTTATATTTAAAAACTTTTTCCCAGCAAAATATCTCAAATAGAACAAACTATTCAATAAAAAGAGAGAAATATCAACAAGTTTATGAAATAAAATGCACATGTTCAAAATAAGCACATGAAGATGGCGAAATAAATATTTTTGTCATACGATCGCCAAATAGCAGCCTTGTTCACATCCTCCTCCCCAAAATAGCGAAATAGTATCATCCGATACCACGTGATGAAGGCGGAGCCAAGTGCCAACTCCTGGTGAACGAGCTTTAGTTATCTATCATTAGTTCTAGAAAATAGCCTTTAAATTTAATTTTCTAGCCATTTTTTTCAATAAACGCATATTTTGTATCATATGAATAAAAAAAAATCGGGATTAAATGGTGTAATGAAGGATACTTGGTTTAGTGGATTTGATTTATAGAGTTTTTACCCATAACTACTTCTAAATAATTCTATGGCTTACATAAAGTGCTACTTTTTTACAGTAAGTTGGTGCCTTTTAAAACGTTGGCAAAATTAATCGAAAATTACCAAATTTTGGTGTTCTACCGTTCTTAAATTATTTTGTAGAAACCGGACATCCCTGGTTACTTCCAGTTTGTTTCTTCCTCAATTAAGATTTCAGAAAAAGATGAAGAAAAGACAACATTTTAATTAATAATAAAAAGAACATCATTAATACGAAGTGTATTAAAGCATTTATTTGTTAATTATTCAGTAATACATAGAAGAAAAAAAAGATATATTTCAAATAACTTATCAATTGCTTTTCTTGCTTTTTTCAAAAGATAAAAAAAAAAAAATGTCACGATGAGCAAATGAAAGCAGTCGAGAATTTTTATGGAAAAACTGTCTCAAAATGAGATCACTTCCAAAGGTACGACTGACGCTTAATTTCAAATCGCTGTCATAAATAATTGAGAAACAATTGTGTTTTGAATCGTCAAATTAAAAGGCAACTTGTTAAAGTACAATACTGTTGGTGTTTCTAATGCCATTTGCCAATACTAGCAAACCTACATGGTGAAACCAAGTGAGGCAGAGGGTGCGTTTCTTGTTTTTCAGTGGCAGCCACACACGGCCCGTTTATACATGCATTTGTAGTGTGTCTACCACTACAAAAATACAATTCTAATTCACTAGTGTTCAATCTAAAATGAATTCTTGCTTTCTATATGAATGGTGGAAAATGTTCCACTTACCTTTAAACCGCCAACTTGAATTTCCAAATAAACCTTTATTGGTTTTAATTATATTTATGACAAAAGATGATGAATTTACAGTAAATGATAATTATAAAGTGATGAAAAAGAGTAAGTAAGTAATTAGCGGGACAAGCCGCTTCTCCAGATGTTATTTTTAAGTTTATCTATTGTTTTTAAGTTTTCGAAAAAATAAAAAGTTAATACTTCTGATGCACCAGCGGTGCCATCTGGGGATAGTTTTCTGGGATGACATCTGGGGATGAGGGCTCGTTACAACTAGTATCATAGATATTAAGTATAAAGTATATAAGGCACGTTAACTCGATTCTATGGTGGAGTAGCTTTTCATAGATGACATTGTCGATAACAACTCTCCTTACACATTTATTCATCCACAGATCGTAATTTTGACTTAAACTAGAGAATCTCCAATTCAGTACCCCCAGATGTATTCATTTATTATGGGAAGTTTTTGTGAGCCGACAGATTTACTACACGGGGAGTCTTCAGGACATGGGCCCTATCAACCAGGTTATCCCGACCTTATAGTGTTGGTTATCATGACATAAACTAAAGGCCAAAAAGATTTTACATTCTTGCATTTTCTAGGAGTTTGAATGTTAGGTTATCGACAGTAATACCGTAAATAGAGGGATGAAATCAAGAATCAAGATTGTGTTGAAATTAGTACTGTTTTCTAGCGATTCCACGAAGATTAGTTGTTGTTGATTAATTTACGGCGTCTGTGTTTTTTTTTTTACTATGTCAACTCTCTAGTGTTCTTTTTTATTTAAAATATTTATTGGTTAATATTTTTTTATTTATTGGTCATTACAGTTGCTGAAATTATTTTTAGTCCAGTTTATTAAAGATTTATACCTTAACAAACTACAAGGATTTAGTCCAATATTAACATAGCTGTTACATTTTGGTAACCTCTGCATTGCACCTTATTTTCATAATTTGCACAGTTTTTGAAGAATTGTTATACAAAAACTACAATTTACTAAAGACAATTACTAAAAAATTACCACAATTACTAAAAAATTACTACAATTACTAAAAAATTACTACAATTACTAAAAGAAATTCTCTACAATTTTCTTTTAAAGAAACTAATTAATTAACACTATATTTTATGTAAAAAATTTGGTCCGGCCTTCAGCAGTCCCGGCTCCAGGACAATTGCATCCCCTCTTGAGTACAGTCTCGACTACATCACGCGGAAATTACACGCATAATTTTCTTAAATTGTCATTTAAAATAAAAGCTGCTTTTTAACTAAAATTCAAATATTTCTAAATTTTCAATAGAGTTAACATGTGTACCAGCTAATGGAATAAGATTTTACCTTTTTCAGAAAAAAAAAAATATCTGTAAAAGACATCGATGACTTTTCAAGAATGATATATTGCACCAACTAAACAATGAATATCTTGATTAAATCTGACAGTCGAACAGTTTAGTTCCAACTCCAACAGAATCTTAGCCTCTACTGTAACTGGCCAAATTAGAGGCACTATAACATTCTATGTAAAATCTTAATTATCAAGTGAATACAGCTTTATTGTTTTTATATGATTGAAACCGGTTTGCACTTGTTTACGTTAGTATATTTACGTTAGACGATGTAAAATATAAATTTAACTATAGGATAAATTAGACGATATATTATACAAATATAGAATATTTATTATATCGAGCATTATATTAGTATGTTATAATAATTAGATCAAATTATTAGACGCGCTGTAGTTTTTTAATAATAACACGATTTGCTCGAGTTCATACGCGATACTTTCATATATACTAATGGGTTTTAATTCGGGATATTTTTATATACTTCCTATTTGTATTTATTTTTAACGTATTGCATTACAATATTAAGCAATTGATACAGGAACGTAAACAAATGCATCCGAGTAAAAGCTGTATAGTACATAGAATGTGTCTAATAATATGACTGTATTAGATGAGATATGGCGAAGTAGTAAAAATAAGAATTATAAAAGAGTGTCTCTTACCTCCTAAAGTTACATTTCCGTGAAGGAACCTTCCTTGATATATTAGACGCAAAATTTCTGCTTTGGCCACAGATTCTTCAGCCCATTCAGCTAAAAGGATTATATACATTCACTTATGATTTACCCAGACTATTACATGTAGTGCTATTCTAGTACTACAAGTGGTGTAACGAATCAAGCTTTATGGTAAAAACAGTTTTTTATATAAAAAAAAAATACCCACAACGAGTTAGTATAAACCTTAAATACAAACAAAAACTATTTCTCAACAAAAACCAACTTATTCTCCAAAAATTGTCTCATTCTATTAAATTTTTGTTAAACTCGCTGTTGATCTCGTTATTTGCTTTTTTAATTCATGCTTGTGTTAGCTAAATTGTTTTAGAGCTCTATAGTGGTCTATATAGTAGTCAGTAGTAGATAGTACTTTGATCTAGTTTACTACTTTGTAGAACTTGTTTCTAGTCTTACAACTTAGCAGTAGTAGTAGTAGTAGTAAGTGAGTCTGCTTTACTATATTTGAGTTCAATTCAGATGTAAATAATATTAATGTACGTAATAACTTGTCTCTGTAAAATAAAACTTTTTGCAACATCTTTTTTAATATTTAGAAAAACTATCGTTTTACATTGACACTAAGATTAAATAAGCTATTCATTAGTAATCGATACTATTTTAGTACGACAAGTAGGCTATTCATTAGTAAATAAACAGAATCTACACTAATAAATGCTATTGAAATTTATTTAATTATAAAATCCAGAAGCAGCTGCTCTTCTATTTTAATCATTCTACTTCTAAACAGTAAATTCAGATTTTTTAAACATTTAATCTAACTAAATTTCTGTTTTAATCATGCACAATAAATTTTCTTGAACTTGAAAATATTTGCTGAATGGTAACGATTTTATGCCTGAACACTCGGCCGGAGCCACGGTGGCCAAGGGATAGAGCATTCACCTCCCAAGTCCATCCCAGGTTTGAATCCCAATGTTGGTCGGTCGATATGAATTGCGGCTTGCACCGACCACAGTGGTAGAAGGATCCCTTTACCATCGGAATAACCATGGGAAGTTTTCGTGCTTTTCCTCGCAAAATACGGGTTAGTTTCACTAAAAAATCCTCCATGGAGGCAATTTCGGCCCAATGGTTGATGGAGGAGTTCCCTTGTCTTCTGAATTGGATTCAAAATAACAAGGTTGCAGATTTGAAAATTGACAATAGTAAACCCAGAATTGGATCGGGTGTTCAAAACAGTTATAGAACAAAATATATATTACTCGGCAGATAACAAATAAAAAATTTCCGGGAATCCGAAACGGCCCGGACAAACGATTTAATTTTCACCGCATACTACAAAATTTTAGGACCCGGTACTTCTGTAATATAAAGGATTATGCAAAATCAGTACTTTTTATCAATAAATAAAAATAAAATCAATAACTTATTTAGGTTTTGAAAAAACAAGTATTTTCTCCTAGAATCTTTTTTAAAATAATAAAACTGGAAGAAAAAAAATAGCAATTCTTAATAAACACTTCAATTTAAGAGAAGCTTTTTATAGAAGAAAAATTTGTCAGTTTCACTTTGAATAAAGAAAATAATGGTATTTTCTTGCTTATCAATTGCTTCAGATTGAAAAGTTATAATCTATTTGAATAGAAGATGCCAAAAAAGTGGGAGAAAACGAAATTCAATTTAACGCAATCAAATTCTTCTTATTTTCAACAAAATTTTGGAATTTTTTACGGTGTTTGACTTAAATATAGAATGACTCAAAACAAATAAAGATCAAAAAGTACTTATTACTTTATACAGAAGATAGATGCTAAAATTTTGTTTAGTTTTTTCACAAATATGAGTCTTTGTTTTATTTCTATTTTTATTTAATTCTATAAAAAATGAAGGAAAAAAAGTTTTTTTTCTGTTGTATTTTAAAATTGTTGTGAAAATGCAAAATATACTTGCTTATTGCAGCTTTTTAATTTAGGGAATTCGGATTCAACATTTAAGATTTTTAGCGAAATATTTTTTTCCATTGTTATTGAAATAAAGGATAATTTTTCTTAAAAAAATTGAATTTTTATAACATTCTTATCAAATTTAAGAACATGAACATTTGTCTATCTGACATATGTTTAAATTATTTATATATAGTGAATGAAATTTTTTTTTACTTCCATTTATTCAAATATTAACATTTTACAAGGAAAAACAGGAATAGTTAAGAGAACATATTTATTATATACTATTGTTATCTATTACACACTATTAGATTCTATTACTATTACTTATTATCTATTACTTTGATATACACTCATGGACAAAAAATTAGCGCACCAAGAAGGAGTCGTCAAAATGAAACGAAATTTTACATACGTAATGACTACTTTGATATAAGTAAATGATAAGAAAATCTAAGAAAAACGATAATCTTTGTTTTTACTTATATCAAAGTAGTCATTACGTATGTACAAGTTCGTTTCATTTCGACGACTCTTTCTTGGTGCTCTAATTTTTTTGTCCATGAGTGCATACTGAATGCCTCTGGGATGTCAACTGCTGCGGGCAAAAATTCTGCAAATTAGTAAATAATTCCAAAAAGTAATAAAAAATTAGAGTGTTTTTGTTAAATTTGAATTTAAGAGGCATTTTACATCGATAGTTCAATTGGGTGTAGGCAAAATTACTAAACGCAGAATTAAACCAGATTTGCATTTGCATTTGGTTGGCATAGAAATGTTGACTAATTAATCATTTTTTAAACTTAGTAGAAATATTAGTATGCTTATTTCCCTTGCTTTCTTAAAGATTGAGTAAAGGCATGCAAAAATCTTTACATCTCATTTTATAGTTTTTATTGTACACCTTGTTTTTGCCTTTTTTTTCATACTAACTTTGCTCTCAAATGCAAAATTTTGTTTGTGGTGGAAACTTAATAATCAAACCAACCTTCACCTTTAAAGTGTTAAAAAAGGTATATAAATGCCTGCTAAAATAAACCTTGAATCAATGATAGTCATAAATTCAAAATAAACCTTAAGAAGGTGAATTTATTTTCGGTTTGAGAACGCTTTCTACTCTTGATTTGCGAATGATAATTCATCCCGATATCAGAAGGTTTTTCTATCCTTGTTTTGTAATGGTAGATTCGATCTCGATACAAAAGGATTGCTTATGTAAGCTTAATGCAAACCTCACAGCGCATAAACTAGCATAGTTAAATTTAACATTGTTTGAAGCCTATATGGTTTATTTGCTACTCATTTATTATGGTTAGCAAATAAACCATATTAAGATAAAGGTTGTTGCTGACATTGAATTCAATTTTGCCCTACCACCTGGGAAATATTACAACATAAAACTTTACTTCAACTAAAAAATTTTTCTATACTACTATTTAAATATCAGTATATTGGTTTGAAATCATTTCATCAAAATTTTTGTTAATATTTTTTTGGTGGTAGCTAAAAATTGAAAATTACCATTGCGTTTAAATATAAATACCCTACCATTTTTCTTCAACAGGCAGTTTTTATAGAATGTTATATTTGTGCTCCTTGGCTATGGTGTTAAAATATTATAATAATTAAAATGAGTTAATTCATTTTACAATGTATGGAAATACGTTGCCTAGAAGGATATAAAATGAAATTGTATTGTACAATTTCGAAAAAGTCAACAATATTTGCAACCAATTTTCGTATTTTCTAAGTTAGGAAAAGAAATAATCCTATTTTAATCAAGAATAATGCTAATGAAATATTCTTAGAATAGAAAGCTCGTTATTTTCTTAAGCGAAACATATCCTTTAAGGATAAGAATATTATCAACGATAGCTTAAAAGAGCAAATATTTAGTAACTGATACTTAACATGAGGTCATAACCCTAAAGGCTCTCTTGGTAGCAGTAATTAGTAACTTAATTCTGTAACTATCACAAATCAGATAACATATCTGTTCACTAAATTGCAAAATATTTCTGGAAAAAGTAGTTTTGAGAAGAAAAAAGATGTCGAAAATTTCTAGAATTGCTGAAGTTTGAAGTTGTCAATTGATTCAATGATATGATTCAATGAATCGAATACAATGATTTATTGTTTCGAATTACCCGTTTTAATTGTAATCAAGTTTTAATCTGTTAATTTGAATCAGTTAATATAAATAACTTATTTGAATCAATTGATTTAAATCTGTAGTTCCAATCAATAAATTCAAATGGATGCATTAAAAGGCTAATTTGAATCAACTATAATTTATAGATAGTGTAAGCCATCCGCGTCAGTTGGTTCAAGCAGCACCAGTTAATCAATTTTGACATTTATTAGAATTGACAATCCTAATGTTAGTTTTAATTGCTTTGTTGGAATCAACGATACAAATCAGTTTATTATGTTGTTGTTTCTAATGGCCCTTGGACAATCAAAGTTCCCCAGCCATTGGCCTTTTGCGAATTAATTCAGGAAGGTGAGCTTCTCATTTGACAAGAGAGCACCGCGAGGCTGAAAATACTTCTTGTCTCAGATAGATGGCAGCACCACTCACTCGTGAGACCACTTTCTCAATTTAGACTTAGTTCTGAAGAGGAAGGAAATTTTCTTCAGATAACTGTACCGATGGTACTGATCAGAAACCGACTTTTCGATTCCACAGATTTTACGAGCACTTCTGTATGTAATCGGTGGGTCTTATTGGAATCGAGGATTAAAACCTGGCCACTCCGGATCAGATCTTTAACCACAGGGCCCTCAGTTCATTGTAAAAAATAGAATTTAAATCCATTTTTGGGCTTAAGACTATCAAAGTTTAACTCTGCAGCTTTGTAATTCTAAACCCTACCAAGAAGACAATGGAACTCTTAGATCGGTACTACTAGCCTTTCATGGAAGACTAAGATGAAATCCATTCGATAAGAAACATCCCATGGTAACTAGCCTGTCAGCAAGAGGTTTTTGATCCATTTATCTATCACTGAATATATTTTACGTCAGCTTTAAGGTCGGAGCGAAACGAGGAGTATAGAATTCTTATCGACCAATCACCGGTATGGGATTCAAACCCGGGTCATTTCATTATCCGCTGAGCATCCGAGGCTGGTTTTTCTTTTATCGGTCAAAATACGCCTATGTCATAACAAATCAAATTAAAAGAATAATTTATTTTAGTTAAGCTATATACAGAGAATTATAAAGAATAGTTAATTACCTTCTACCCAGTTGTCAAAAACATATTGAGCTATATCTGAGGCAGAATCACTAGGACTAAACAAATATTCTCTGGTTTTCCCGCTCACCAATATTAGGCGCAAATTTATCTGAAATAAAAATATTATATTCATTTCAAAGAATTTGCATAATTATTTCATGGTAAATTAGCAAGTAATTCTTATTATGCAGAATTTGCATACAATATATGAGCTGTATAAATCAACTGATCCGCTTCCAGCAAAAATTTTTATTAAGTGGTAAAACTTAAATACTAAGAGTTAATTTTGCGAACTTTTTATAAGGCTCATCTGTTTGATAATATTTTACGTTGATTCATATATTACTATAAACATTCGTGAATATGTAAAACGATTATGAATAATTCTAAAAACATGAATAACGTTTATTTAGAATAATTTTATGTAAGAACTTGAACATAAATAATTATTATACAGTTAAAACCAGCTATAGTGAATCCTCAAGGGACCGAAATTTCGGTTCACTATAATCGGGACTTCACTATATCTGTTCCACAAACAATTTTAACTTCAAACGCCCCCTTTTCATTACAGATTATTTAAATAAATGACCAATAAAATGGAAACAAGAATGAATGAAAAATAATACGTAGCAACAAAAATGTGTTTATTTCTCCTCGTCTTGCGCACAAAAAAAAATAGAGCTGATGAGCAATTCTCTACAGTAGATATGGAAACATTTCCCGACTCTCGATAATTTTGACTGCCCAGGCATTCGAGCGCATAAAAGTAGTCTCGCACCAAATAGCTCAGCAAATTCAGTTGCTTTGACTTGAAGCATTTGTGCAGATACTAGAAGATTGCGGCTTTTTTTAATGCCGAGCTAATTTAATGATGCTATTCAATAATGAAGCAAACAAGAAAAAATGCTTATTGCTACATTCCCCGCTAGTTTTAAAAATCGGTATATGTATTTACTTTGAAGTAGAAATTTCAAAGTTATTACTTAAAAAATGAAGAAAATAAATCAGTCGAAGACATAAAAAAGTTCATAATATTCTCTCTTATTTTGGTTTCACTACATCCACAAAAAATAACACTATACGAGTGTAGCAAGGCACGGGAGAGAACATTTCGTTCACTGTATCCGGGTGTTCACTATAGCGGGGTTGGACTGCATTCACTATTGCACAAATGTAAAGGGTGTTCTCTAATAGCCGTCTATAAAATGAAGATAAAAGTGCAAAGCAATACCGAAATTCCCGCTCTCAACTAAATTTATGGTGGCAATAAAACACAAATTTCATAAGCAAATATTTTTACCATGTGCACTGAGCAAAGCTATATTAATCATGTCTTTACATATGTGTTCGGATATTTTAAAACAACACTTCAAAACATCTGAGGGCAGGTCTGCGACCATTCTATTAGTTTCAGAACTAAATAAAATAATTTAAATTCCTGGCACTCTAAGTGCTGTTCAAACAATCCGTGAATAAAAGAACACTGCTGTCATTATTACGAAACAGACCTACGCTTTATCACTCATCAGACAATAATTTTCATTCTGACTTCTTCACTAGTGATTCGAATGATTTCGATAGCGTTTTGCTTTTTTCCTCGCTTAAATATTCTGACAAAAATTAGGCCTCAAGGGCAGTGTTTATGAAACACCTCGTGAAAAAACATTTCTGTGAAAATAAATGCAATTGTTTTCGCTATATCCGCGATGAATTTGGCTGTTTTTCATAGGATAAATCCAAGGAATTTTGAATATTAGTATAGAATGCATATAGAAAAATCTTTTACGATGGAAAATAAATGCTTAACCTTAATTTAAACCTTAGGTATGAATACCAAACTTAATAATCATAATTATCATGTATACCTATAATTCATAACAGTAACTAATAATCATAATCAAAATTCATGACCATAAATATTAATAATAACAAACCAAACTATTAACGAAAACAATCAACACTATTAACCATAATAATCCAAAATATTAACCAAAATAATGACACATAAAAGCTTAGCCCTTTTTGCAGATTATATGATAGAACATTATATTGTTTACAATGTAGAAGAAAATTTGTGACATTTACAGAAAAAGAACTGTCAGCTGGTGTGCCAGTATATTTAAAACCAGACGCCTGTTTTTTTAAGTAGATACGCGTATTGTTATTTCAACAAGCAAACTCTATAAAGTAATTAATTCAGCATTATAGTTGGTGCGAACCGAGAGCAGTAGTTGCATGACCAGTCAACTCTGGGATTCGAATCCGGGTCACTTCATTGGGCGTTGTGTCCCCTTAGCCACAGTAGCTATGTTGTTAGGTTATGAAGAAAAATCTGAAACTGTCTTTTTCTTATAAGTCTTACTTAATGGAATCATATTTAACACGTTGAACGCCACGCTAATTTTACATAGCTTGCCCATCTGGCCACTGTAAATAACCTCAAACTAAATTTGCAAATATTAGACGGATTTTTTTAGAAGGTTTATCATCTGACAAAAGTGGTGAATTATATAAGCCTACGAATTATGTAGAAATAGTGGTGGATAAAAATCTACTAAATTGAATTTATTAAACCAAGAATCACAACAATTAAGTAAATTTTGAATAAATAATCTGCAATTCCATAAAAGAGTACATATTTTATAGTTCTATATCATGTTATACGCTGTCAGCCAGCTGTTTTTCGCGGCCTATGTGAAAGGTCAGTGTCAGCAAGCTGTGGCAGACGCAGCCTAAATGTAATTTCAGTGTCAGCCACCGGCGGTTATCGCAGCCTAAATGTAATTTCAGTGTCAGCGACCGATGGTTGACGCGGCCTAAATGTAATTTCAGTGTCAGCCACCGGTGGTTGACGCGGCCTAAATGGAAAGTCCAGTGTCAGCCACCGATGGCTGACGCGGCGCTCAACGTGTTAAATGTAAAAACGTTTCAAACTATATTGGCCCACCTTTATAGAAATATTTGGTAATTTAATTTACCGATTAATTTTATCTAAAAACAGGTCCCTGAGGCAGAATTTTTTAGGACTTCTTGCGACAAAACTCTCTAGCACTAATATCTTTTTTCGAGATACTTTTAATATGAACAAAAATATACGTTACTATTTAAAAAAACAAAATCGCTGTGTTTACAAAAAAAAATATATATAATTGTTTTTAATTGAACATGGGTGATATTCTCACATTTTGTTGGGGGGAGGGGCGCTCAAATTACTTCCTTCTTCGCATTTCATAAATAATTATCACAATAAAAAAATAATTAAAAATCATGAAGTCCACGCGCATAGTAGTAATTGCAAAAAAAAAAAAAAAGTGACGACGAAATCACGCGAATCGGATTCCTCAAATGCATGTTTCGTTTCGAGACTTGGTTGTTATAATAAACAATATCATACAAAAAATATCGGATTTAAAAACTATGGAGAAATCAATAGCAATAACTGCCGAAAATTCGATAGAATTATTGCCTTAAAAAGTAAATACTCAAATGCACTATTCGAATTTTCCATATTGTTTGAAATATATCGGGATATTTAAATCCACGTGAAAATCAATATCAATAACTGCCAAAAATGCAATAGAAACATTGCATCGATTTACGATACTATCAGGATAAATTGAGCGTTTCAGAAAGTGTTTATCCAATTGCATGATTCACATACTATGGGTAAATTTCTGGAAAAAAGAAAATTAAAGTTTTTTTTTTTTTTTCCAAAAGAAAAATCTTTCTGCAAGAGTTCTGTAACGTTCTGCGACAATGTTACCGTGTCGATGCAATTCTGCCACAGGAAAACAGGTAGAGAATCAATTCAAGAATGAAGTCGAATCGCAATGTTATTTATATGATATTCAAAACCATAAAATAATTTCTGAAAAGTAAAAGCAAGTATAGAAAATAATCGTAAAATGATTTGGAAAAAGATAGTTATATTACGGTAAGCAAAACGGCATGGCAAAAACTAGAATTTGAATTACAGTTTTAACCAGTTTATGTAGGGTGAGAGAAATACCGTATTGTGGAAAACTTTACACTGTCAAATACACAGAGAAAATCTGTAAAAAAAATAAATAAAAAAAAACGTACATTTTTTGTTGCACCCGGAAAAAAATCTGTATTTATCTAATTTAACCCTTTAATGGGTCCTTTATTTCTAGTAAAAGTAAATTAAAGTATTTTTGGAATTGAAATTGTTTTAAGAACAGTAATTGATATAAAAAAAAACTCATTTAGTTTATAAAAATGCCATTTTTTTGGTGGTAAATGTATTTAACATGACCTATTAGGAACTTACTGACTTTTATTTCTCTTTATTTATAAAATAAATTCCTTAAATGCTACAAACTTCAAAAGGAATTATGTATTTTATAACTTTTATACGTTTTTTAAAAGCGACAAATGGTTACCAATTTTATTCAAACTCACTTCAAGAAAGCTGAAGTTATTGAAAAATGGAAACATAAATTAAAAGATCGTAGTGGTAAGTATGCTTACCACGGCCTTCAAAAGGGTTAAACAGTTGTTTTCTGTATAATTTTTTTAAAAATTTTCTTATTTTTTACAGTGTAGGAATACTTAGAGCTTTATTTAATTGTTTCCCTTACCAATTTTTTTGGAAAAAAAGGGCAAAAAATCACAAGGAACTAAAACAAAACATAATACACAAGTTTTAAGTTAAAATTTTAATTTTTTTACGTGTAAAAAATATTTAATTTATCAACAGTTTACTATCCCAAATTATCTCGGGCAAATGAAAAAAGTTAAATATTAGTCTTTGTATATGTTCACATTTTCATAATCTGAAAAATCATATGCATTACTTTCACTTTTCTCTTTGTAACTCTAGGTCTTTTTTACTATTTTTTCTATGTAAATTCATCAACCAACGTATATACAATTGTACAAAACACGACTGCAGTCCCACAAATAGCCAGCCTCCCAAACAAATATTGGCAAACTTCCAATCACAGTTAATTATTATTATTTTTTGTTTTGCTTTCCGCCGAATAAAAAAGTGATAAAACGAAACGTATTAATGAATGTCCGAGTTTACTCGGGATAATATATACATACCGAAGTTATGTAAATATAGTACATACGAAGTTAATA